TTATCATCGAGCGACTAACTGCGAATCTCACGACTATACACTGGCGATCGCTCGATAGTGAGGGAAACGTATCGATTTTCGTTTCTTCGCGACACGTGGAAACGAGGGGGTACACGGTCGACGGGGGTTTTAATAATGCCAGGGGGAACTGTGCCCGTTCGAGGAATCGATTATATTACGCGGCCGGCGTTACGGCGGTCCGGAAATACACAACATCGACGAGTTCGCAAGTGCGTAACGGATTCGTGCGATATTGTCACGCGTGTCCTATGCGCGACAGTCCTCCTCCCTTTCTCTCGTGCGTGCGTGCGTGCGTGCGTGCGTGCGTAATTTCTCTTATTTTTTTTTCTTTTCTTTATATATTTTTCAAATTTACCGGGTATGGTCTCTATGTCCGGCAGGCCCATGCTCGCACCTTGCGCCGCGCAACTTGCAGCCGACTGACAGCCAGGTAAGCAGGCATGCTCGCCGGTGCTGGCGCTTTCAAGTCACGTATCCTAGCAACTAGAAATCAATTTCTAATAGCAACACGCGCCACTACCTTTCGCCAAAGCTGAAGAACGCGCCACGGCGCGTTTCTTTAGCGGCATTGAAAAGCGGCTGGCCTCGCTTCCGCAGCCTTAGTTTTGTTTTCTCAGCTTCTTTTGTATTTCTTCGCTGCCGAAGTACGAGTAGAAAGCAGCCTGATACATAGTTATACAATTATGTCATTATTACATAGTGTTCATTATACTTAGCGTACTACATCGATCCGCCCATGTAATATTCGCTGAAGATATCGGTCTTATAGATATCGGATTATAAGCTTTCGTAGTCACGAAAGTTCCTTATTTATTTATTTTTTTTTTCGTGAATTATATTTATGAACAACATGCAGTATAAAAAATTGATAATTATCGCATACATTTTATTTGCAATAATAACGCGGAAACATTATTTCAATAATATTTCTGAGACAAGTGACCTTAAGTAGATGTCTGCAACTGCTTGAAACGGTCATCAAGTTCGTCAAATTTTTACACGTTAATACCACGTTCGATGTATAGGCAGCGCTAGTGTCACGTGACACCTGCTGCAGTCGCGTCTGAAGCGTATCGCGCGTCGGTCACGTAGGCTGGTTTTCTATCAATTGCCTGATAAGATTGTAATTATTGTCAGTGTTGATTATTGTAATTTCGCGTATTACCTGTTAATTGGTGCAACGATCATTGTGGAACTCGCTGGTGCGAGGAATATTGGTAGGTACGCGAGAATTCTTCCATTCTCAGTTCCTGTCATGTTTATAACCTAATTTTTCCAAATTTCTATTTCGTATTTTGAATCATACGTTGTGGCTGATTTATTGAACCGAAAATTAAATAACGAGCTATATCAAAATGCCCGCGAAAGAGAGAAATATTATATTTTATAAAGGCATGCGTGCAATTTCTAAATTTGTATTTTTTGTTGATATTTATATTGTGCTTACTATCATAGTTATGATACTGTCAATATATGTTTAAATTTTTCTTCTTTGTATTCAAGGTCGGTCATTAAAGGGCTGATTTGATGAGCTATTAAGGATGGCTGACGCTCCGTCAGTCACAGAAAACACAAAGGAAGCGGAGAAACAAGATGATCCTATGAAAAACTATGAATTTGATGGGCAAACGTATATATATACTGATAAGGCAACGAACATTACGTACAGATTTGATCAAGAGAATAATAAATGGATAACAAAGGAAGATGATAATCAGAGCCCCAAAAATAAGGACAGCTCTGACGGAACAGAAAAGAAAGATTCTGGGTCTGAAGCTGGTGCTTTTGGTTTTGAAAATGATACCCATACGTATACTGATCCAAATGATGGCAGCGTATACTTCTGGGACAAAGAAAAGAATGCCTGGTTTCCAAAAGTTGATGAGGATTTTATGGCCAAGTATCAAATGAGTTATGGTTTTACGGATAACAGCATACCACAGTCAAAATCGCCAGAATCGAAAGAACCTCTACCTACTCAGAAAAGCAAAGAGGAAAAAGAGCAGAAGAGAGCAGAGGCTAAACGGAAAGCTCAGGAACCACCAACCTGGTTTGAGGTTGATGAGGCACATAATACCGCTATTTATGTATCCGGATTACCTTTGGATATTACTATAGAGGAGCTCACACAACTTTTTAACAAGTGTGGTCTCATAGCGAGAGATGAAAGGGGAAAGGATAAGATTAAGCTATACAAAGATGGCAATGGGGAACCAAAGGGGGATGCTCTCTGCACCTACATCAAGGTAGGAATGTATGTTTTACAATTTAATTTGTATATATCTTATTAATATAGTGCATCCTTGACCTACTCTTGATCTTGCAATATTGATCGTACTGTAAAATTTCATACATCAGTATTTTATTGTACATCGTTAAATACAGAGTATATTGATGGTCTTATATTGATATATTTACAGACGAAGCAATGAAAAAATATAACGAACACAAGAGTGGATCAAAAAATAAAGATACTTTAAGAGTTTCATTTTGCTTTTTGAGTCACTATCTGTACGTGTGTATGTATGTGTACGTGATTGCAATTCATTTATAAAAATTACAAAAAATTAGCATATCGTGAATAAGTATCGCTAATACAGTTTAATTAATTATTGAAATTAATTATTGAATGATATTTGTAATTGCTTAGAAAGACCAGTTTTATTGAAGTATGTAAAAATTTAGCCAGACACAGATCTGAAATAATTTTGTTGAATCGAAATAAAATTGCCTAAAATATTTAAGCATCATAATAATATAAATCTTTTTGATATTTTATTTATTAATTAAATGTTCTGCATAAATACTTTGATGGCTCAACAAAATTATGTTTAGCTTTATATCTGATTAAATTTGATACTTCAGCAAAATTGTTCTTTTTATATTTTTTAATCGAGAATTGCTGCGCGAAGTGATGACATGCATCGGCAATGTGAGATTATTGATTCGTAGATTACTCCATTTCATAGATTACTCACATGTTATAATTAAATAATATTGTGCAAGACATTGCTTAGCAAGATATAATCATTGAACTAGAAAAAGATAGTTATAGAGAGACGATGATTTTCTATAATGATATAGAGAATATTTATAAGTACACAGAGATTATTTAGATATTGTATCGAATGCGACTATAATAATAGGATTATTAATTAATAGATGATTATATTTTCTATTCGAAATATTTAGAGGAACCTTAAAGAATTTACTTCGATTAATTTTGATCGTAATAATAATTCGTAATCTTGACAAATTTATTTTTATAATTGCAGCCGTCAATAATATTATAATATTATAATAAAAAAATCGCGATGGCAGTTGAACAGTAGTGTTGTAAAAATTTCTCTTTTAAATAGGTTTTTCCCTCAGCTGTATACATTGTGTAACAGAACTACAATAAATAGAGGCTGCAATTATAACTAATTATCGATACAATGAATTTTTTACGACTTTAACAAAACCTCTTCGCGCGCAAAATCATTAATCTTATTGTGGAACTGCGAAAAAACGTCATTCATATCCGCTAAATTCCGGGATTGATGGCTATTGTGTCCGTTGGCCAGAAAAGCACCATATTCTCGCTCTTGAGGCATTACTTGTGCAACCTTCGATCCGGTTGATTGTGGATGGGTTCTGTTCGAGCGATGTCGTGTGCGCTCTCTAGATTGCATCATATTGATACTGTCAAAAATTATTTGGAAAAATTATTAAATATCTTTATAACTACTATACATTTGTAGTCTTAAAAATATTAAAAAAATTTTTAAACATAAATTTTATGTTAAATGTAATTTAATATAATAGTATTGGTACTTAGAAGGTGGCCGCGATCCCAATTTGACACCATGGGCCCATTGTTGATTCTCTCCTTGGTTCGTCCAATTTCTTCTCAAATTTGTTCGATTCTTCTTTCTTCCATCTCGTTTTCTCTGTCCGTCTAAATACTTCTTGCCCTTCTTTCTAGATTTTAATATTTGATTTTGTGGCGCGAAGGGATCCGACTTTTTGCGTCTTCTGGCTGGAAAGGAGAAAAATATCATGAGTGAATTCAGTTGCATTTATATCAGTAAATTTATATACGAAAGCTTTTTCTGCTGGATGTTTCGAATGCACCTCTCACCTAAACGACCTGCAGGCACTTCGCATATATAATGCTTCCGTTCCACGCAACTTCTCGCACTCCATTTATATTTTAACGCGGGATCCATTATAATACAGTGCCATGCATACTTCTTGGACCTTCCGGGCTCCATTTTTCCAAAACTCTGGAAAACCATCTTTTCACCTGTTACACCCCATTCCCAGGCCATCTGTTGCCAATTGAAAATTCCGCCGATCCATCGCTCCAATTTCGCTATCAAAATTCATCAATTCAAGCAGAATTGTCTGACAGTGTAATCAAATGAAGTGAAAATAATTGATACTCACTGAACTGTTCGCCCATCAAGTATTTCCTCAACATTTTGTCCTTTCCGTTTCTGTCTAATATTGCCAAAGTGGCATTTCTATCCTTGCAGTGAAAATACGCGTCCCTCCATGGTGCTGTGCCGGCGCTCAGATAATAACAGAATCGTTTCAGCCGAAAGAATCCCACGGGACATGCGAATCTTCTCACGGGTTCATGCTGTCGCAATGTTATAGAGCGATTAGCCAAAGGACTAATGTCGAAACGACTTGACGATTCCGAAATAGCCGAGGATAAACCTAAAAAAAAAAATTAAAAATCTTAGAAATATAAATCTCAGATAATTCTGATCTTTTTCATTCAACATAACTCTGATTAAGATCATGAAAAAGAATTGTATTATTAATCAATTATTGTATAATAAAAATATGAAGTTGACGCTTATTATATTTCTGATTTTTATTTTTTCTCATGAAATTGCAACATTTTTTTTTTTTTTTACGTATCAGACAACCTAGAACTCTTTGAAGAGAGTTAGAGCTTTGTAAATTATATTGAAAATGGAGTGCAAACTTCACAAAGGTCCGTTCCTCCTTTAGAATTCTTTGGTAATTAAAGTTTTATTTTGGTAGGAATTTCATATTCCGGTAAATCGCCGATATTTTGAAACGCATATTTCTTGTATAATTACTTGTAATAATTTATAACACATAATTGATGCGTTTCGTTCCAAGTGAATACATTTTCGTTCTGTGGCCTTGAACGGAATTTAAATATTATGTAATGGCGTCTGTGATTCACGCGTGACTAGGCGCCACGCTGTTGCATAGCTGAGATATATTATTGAGCATTGTCTCATGAAATAGATTACTTGATTTTCTATCTTGGCAACAGATCAGCTACATTATCACATTCTCAAATTTGTCATTGAAATATAAGTGTCCTATTTCAATGGCACGCCCGTTTCATCGTCCGTTACTTCTGTAATCTATCGAGATAAATTTATAAATCACGATTTTATCTTTGTACTCATCTTTGTATTCATCTCAAATATACATTTCTGTAGACTTATCGCACAAAAAAACAATGGAAACGAGCACCGATGTCTTATTATCGTGAAAGGAAAGCGAATCTTTGTTACAATTTTGCATCTGCATGCAGAAGATTTGACGATCTGATTGATTGAAATTTTTAGGGCGTGACAGGTCCGTTGAATGAAACAGACCGGCATAAATGGAACAATTTTTTTTATGATAACGATACGCGATACCGATGTGCGCATACAATAGGTACTGTTATCTGTAATTGAGATGTCAGATTAAAGTGTCAGTTAACGGAGATTGCAAAATACAAATGGTTCAAGAAATTGTAATGGGATTTTGCAATTTTCGAGCTGAGAAATAAATATAAATTCTCAAGAAGATTTAACGATTCGAGAAAAATTCGTAATTTGTAACTTGATGAAAGATTCTCTGAAAGAGAATCATAGCGGAAGGATTTCCCGGTGTGTGCCAACGTTTATCATCTCATATTAATGTTACGCTATTACGAAAGTACATGTGTAAGCAGCGCGGCAGCGATACGTTGGCGATAATTGTTTGACATTCTTGTTCAATTAATTACTCGAAGATCTATCGTGAGTCATCGTCGCGTAGACCAACCTCCACAGCGCACGTGTCACTATAAATTCCATTTATGATACACAACCAGTATCGTATGACTATTAATAAATACCAGAGATTTAACCTTTCCGCCCGCAGGCCTCCAATATGGAAAATACATTCTCGTTCCTACGACAATTACGTGTGAAAGAATCGTGCGCTTTTATTGAAGCACGTATCCAATTGCCCATGGCAATTTCTGATAAATCGACGACGATAAACAAATTGAAGTAAGTGAAAAGGGGATATTAGGCCTTCGTGGATCTACTTAAATCGGAATAACGTAACGTATCACGGTATCAGTTTTGACCTCGATAATAAATGACGCGAGGTTAATGAATTGGAAAGCAACTTTAACCATTTTTTTCTTTTTTTTACTGTTGTTGTTGTTGTTGTTGTTGTTCTTTTTTTTTTTAATTATCTTGTAATGAATAAAAAGAAGAGAAAGCGTACACGAAAGATTACGAAACATTCAGAAGAAAACAACGTACGTAAAAATGCTTTTCAAGATTGAACGAGTTAATATTTTTTTTTTGTTTTGTTTAATTGCCATTTTATGCCTTTCGTTTTATCACTTAAATTAGTAGCAAAAAAAAAAGCGCGAATGATTACAAACGCTGTTATATTCGAAAAACAGTTTAGATTTCTATTATTTCAAGTGCAAGTATATGTAATTGCTGCTTGCGGAATTTTGACTTTAAGTTACATATGTGCAAGAATGTAGGCCGCGAATTTAAATGGGTCAGTACTAGAAATCGGTTACTTAATGCCTGGAGCGCGCATTAAAACAATAGCGATTGCACTGAAAGCTTGCTTCGAAGCGTTTAAACGTATATTTACACACGTCAGAACTCTGCGAGAACTGGTTTCTACGAACAATAAAAACCAGTAGCACTGTCTACAATTCCACGCCTCTTAATTATAGTGCGATCGATTTTAGTGCGATCGAGTTAGTCATCGACGGAAAGTAGTGTTGCGCATGCACCAATTTGAACCCGAGCTCTGTAATCGTACGGCGGAAAGCCTCATTCGCGTAAATACAAATAATTAAAGTAATTACGATATTAATAATTTCCTCGTTTAAAAACATTGTAAAGTTGTTATATAAATTTAATACAAAATGTCCCGGAGTGTGCCGGAGTTTTCTGCGCTTTCTATTGCGTCCAATTGCACTTGGATTTGCCAACTATGCTAAAGTTTGTTGCAGCTTTGGGGCACCGCGATATACGACTTGCTTTAAAATGCGAGACATAACAAACGAGATGGCTAGCGCGTATGTTGCATATTTCATTTCGGCAGGAAATTCAGGTTTCCGAGAGAGGTCTCATTTAAATCTCTAATGCAAAAATTCATTCTAGTTTTCTAGTTTTTTCGCAAAGTGATATAACGACAACTTGATACAAATATTAAAATGAGATTTTTTTTTTTTATATTTTGATATCTTTATTTGATATACATTTTATATAAAAATTTATTTTAAAATGGAGTCTTTATATAACTTTATTACAAGTTGGTAGAACGTTTTTTTACGTTACATTTGTGAATGTCAGAAATAATACATTTTTTTGTCAATTCGCACATATGTACCTTCTTAATGTAACATATGCGTCTTCTTATCACAGGTGCGCAAACTGTTGATAATGATATCGAAATAACCTTTGCGTTAGCGGCAGAAAATATCGGTGGAAATAGCGGCGGTTTATTTCCCATAAATATTTAATCGCGAGAAGTAAAAGACATAAAATTATTTTTTTATTTATGAATGCATAAATATGCGATTGTAGAGATCATCATTTTTCTTAGAATTACTATTTTTCTTAGAATTATTGAATATTTCTAAATTATTAATATCTTCACTTAGAAAATGCAGAGTACAAAAAAATATATGAAATAGATATAATTTTTTTTTATTATTGATAGCTATATCTAACATGTAAATATTCATATATTTAAGAATTGCAAATATCATGAGTCATATTTGATAAACTTGCATAAACATTTAATGTACGCTGACTCTAGCTAAAGTGAAGTTACGTTAAAATTGTAGTCGGAGTTGATAACTCTTGTTATAATACCCATTATCGATAGTGTTACGCGATCATGTTATAACCTTCGAAGAAAGGTCTCGCGAGTTATCCGATATTTTCAAGCTCTAATCGACTGATATCAATAGTCGCGACAGGGAATTATATTTATGGTGTATGTCTACCCACAACTTGCACTTTCATTCATACAACGTTTATGGCACAAGGCTAAACCTCGGGTGCTTGGGTGGACATTCTTCTCATATTTCCAGAATTTATCACCACTTTCGCGAATGATCTGATATTAATGATAATTGGTCAATTAACCTTTATTAACAATTAATTTTTATTCACTACGAAGAAAGTTGATATCAGGTATGGTTGGATATAAATTATGCTTGACATGCAACGACTATGATTATTCAAGTATAATCAACTGTTGAGTAATTATATTATTTTTATTAATAAAGTTCTATCAAATTATACGACTAATGATGTGCAATTTCTTAGTATAGCGAGCTACATACTATGTGTTGTTTCCAATTTTGCGTTTTTTGAGTTTATACAATTGTAAGCATTTTACGATTGTTGCGATCGAAGCTATTCTCGAACGACACGATTCGATTCCACGGTATCGTTTCCGCCTAGATTCAATCTCGCGAAAATAGATCGCTACATCTGTTCAGAAAATACATGTCTATCGAACGAGGACACGTGTTTCGATCGTTAATGTATTCGCGATTTCCATCGGAACACGTACGGTAAAATATGCGCGTCCCGAAACTGTCTGCGCAACATTTCACCAGCAAGTCGTTTAATCTTACATGCAGAAATTTCGAATATGTTTGATGTGAAGTGCAATTCACATTTCTTTTAAGATTTTTTTACTTATACTAAACTTTATTAGAACATTAAAGTCAACTTTCTCGACAAAAATGTGAATCAAATAAGGTCAGGTCGGAGTAATGTATTTCTGAAAATTTTTCTGAAAATAGGAAATCTGTTTTAAGAATATAATGTCAGATTAATTCTATGTAACACAGACTAACTACTGTTAGTTTTTTATATATCCGTTATATTTGTAATTTCATGTTTATTTATAACAGATCAAAAATTGAAAATCATTACATTATTGATGATATTAGCGTGTAAATTTTTAATGCCGATAACAATAATACTTTGTGGCTTCGTAACTGCTGATCTATATTGGAGCTGTCATTAGACTGCCAATTAGCAAAGCGTGCAACTGTTAATAGACAACTCAATGGTGTCTCTGCATCGAAAAACACACACTTACAATTACTCACAATTACGTTTACATCATATTAAACATAATTCAAATTTTAATTACAAGTTTGCAAAGCATTGTTCCAGTTTCCGAGCAATTTATATTAATTAATAAGTAGTGAACGAGTTAATTAAAATTAAATTTTTTGCGAAATTATAATAGATATTAAGTTAATTTCAGTACAACAGATTGTTTTCAGTTGATGTTGCCCACATTTCGGTAATAAGCAAAATTACATTGAGCATCGATGGATTAACCGTGGGGTTAAATACGGGTTAATTATATAATAATACTAAATTGTATAGTTATAGTAGTGAGAATTATAATCGTAGGAGGGAGGCACCAATCCTCTCCCATTAAATGAGCATTTATTAGCGTAATTTTGTTCTTTCAATGCAATCGATTCCCGGACATGCCGCTATTCATCGTAAATTACTCTCGAGCGCACTCTGCCTGCGTATACATTTTTTGCGCGATAATTCATTTCGCAAATATTTAACGACAATTATTCACGTCTCATAAGTGCATGATCATTTTTCTTATTACCCATTTCTCCGAGATTAATCGCGTGCTGGAATCTCTCGGGATGTTTACCTACTCACCCATACTCCGGACCGTCCCTCTCGTCTCGGGGATCGTCCGGGTAATCTGTTTAAATCACTTTGCACACTTTAAATTAATTACCTGCGACACACAGAAACAGGACCCAGCACTTCCACATGTCTACTTTACACGTCGTTTATTCGTCGAGATACTCGAAGGAGAAGCCGCGATACAGAATCGTCCTCATTCTCGTTCTTTGAACCTCGCCTCGCTTCCGATTTCGCACATTGGTGATCGGTCGTTTCCGCAGATTTGCGGAGGTCGCGCGGAGGAAAAGGATCGGTTCCTCTTTCTTCGAAGATCGAAGGTGTCTCTCGGTCGCGGTCAACAGGGTATACCCCGGACCGTCTGTTGATCCCGACAATGGGGACCGTTCTTCGGCGGAGGTTCGCGGCCGACTGAAGCCGCCGCTTCCATTCCGCTCGGCGCGTACCTTCGCGCGCTCCGAGTTTACGAGCGGAATTCTCTCGCGCCTCCCCTATCGCCAGACGCCACCGCGATCGTTTTCCCGATTCCAAGGAGCTACGAATCCGTCATACAGAGAATCCGTCTGGCTTACTTCCATTTTGCCTGAACGCGAGTACGTTTCGTACGCGGTTCATATTATTCACGGAGATAGCTGCGGATTACTCGCGCTTTCGCGCGTATATTCTGCTTATTTTATTACTCGCCTGTAGGATTGGCATTCTCGCAAAAAGATTTCTCGTGCCTGAAAATATATTTCATTTTCAGGCAACTGTATGTAACAACTGCATTTTTGCCGCATTCCTTCGTACGCCAGACTTTCCATCGTTTATACTTTGCGAAAATGTCATAATTAGACCAGTATCATTTTAGATCTGCATTCCTTCATTATCTGACGTTTGCCTTGATTTGTAAGGCGATTTTGAAATAGCGGAATCTTACATGACGTACAATTTAATGATTTCTGTTCACGTTTTGCATAATGTTCGCTAAATGTTTTAAGATTCAAGGATATAGGAACTTAGATACGCATAGAGCGTACGATAATTGCGCGTTAACGATCCAGAAATTGTTGAACAAACGCAACGTAGTTGCGTCGACAACTCGCGAAATGTTTGAGAAACTGCGCGTCAACAACGTTGAAGTGCCAACACTCTGCACTCAATATCACTATCGTAAAACGGAGTTAGAATGCATAAGCATTAACTTTGCAACAGTAAGAGAAGGTTTCAGAATCACTTGATGTCGGGAGCACTTTATCAATGATGAAAATTTTGTAAATAATAGAACTATGGAACCGACGAATTATTATATTATTTTTATATATTATTTATATATTATTTTTTTGGTGCAGAGTCATATAAGAGAGAATATAAAGCAGCAGAGTCATATAAGAGAGAATATAAAGAGCACACAGTGTACGCAAAGACTCGTCCGTTATTTATGACAACCATTATTTGGAATTAACGTAAAATTAATCGAGTTATATGGAAGAATTATTCGGCAATAACTTTTGCTATTTTTGTCTACCGCTTCTTAATATTTTCACTTAATCATTGAATTATGTCTGGATGACAGTTCCGTGATTACTCATAATTTGTAATTAATTGAGTAGTAAGAGAACGTAATTACGCCGTTTATAAATTTGATTTTTATGTATAATATAATTAACGGTGCAGTATGTGTGTGTGTGTGTGTGTGTGTGTGTGTGTGTGTGTGTGTGTGTGTGTGTGTGTGTGTGTGTGTGTGTGTGTGTGTGTGTGTGTGTGTGTGTGTAAGTATACCGTCACACTTTCATGTACTCTTATACATACAATATATATAAGTACATATATATAAGAGTACACGAAAGTGTGACGACCTCAAATTGGGCGTATACCCACTTCTAAAATATCATCGAGACGAGATCTACCAGACGAGCGTTTCCGTTTAATGGCAAGCTGCCAATTGGGCGTATTAACGTCTATCTGTCTGATAGTATCTTTTGGAGAGTTAAGGTTCAAATGGAGTTGATTAGAATGTAGTAACAAGAATAGCAGGAAATGTCAGCAAATCAATCAAAGATATCGCGAGGCTAAAAGCACAATTTGCCATCGTCGAATTGGATTTCACAAATCTTAAACTTAATTATTCTTATACCGGCTTATCATATTGGAAAGATTTATTAGCGCGAAAAATATATGTTGAATACGGTACACTCGGGAAAAAATATGAAGCTCGTACTGAAAATCTGACTATCGCGTTGCGTGTGTCAGAAACGTGTGTGCTCCACTTTATCTCTGAAAAATGCACCGACTGCATTTCGTGATAACTATTATGCACTTCGTACGACGCCCTCAGTCACTATCGCGGTTGCATAATTTAAATAAATATACATTTTTCTCCCTATTTCGTACGAGAAATAGTTATTTTTGCATATTTTTTATGCACATGGCGATCATTATAAAGAGACATGCTTTCTTATAATTTATAATAGATGACGTCGATAAAATTATTAAATGTAGGCTCGGTCGCGTTTGAGTAATATACGATACTGAAATACTGTAATACTGCGTGTAATGTTGGAATTAAAGAATACTTTGTACGCTCGTGACATCAAAGCACGAATTTTATTTTACTTTTTCCATCATGTAGATGCAGACCATGTTTTTGTGAGTGACGACAGGGAGGACTGTTACATTTAAACTACTATGATGGCGATTCATTTGCGCATTCCTGATGCTTTGAAAGGTACACCGGGAATGCTGCAATTCGTGGAATTGCAATTTGGGGTGGGCTGATGACTGCATGCCTGAAATCACAACGGTACGATTGACAGATTCAAGTAATTCTAGATATTGCGTCAGGCATTATGGAGATGTAGATGCAGTGGTCATGTTTATGGCTTCAGAATTACCGTCGCCATACGGTTACGTAATATAATGTTATGTCAAGTCAGCCATTTAGAAGTGTTAAGTCATTTTTTTCACGCATGAATAATCTTATCAGTATGTAAATTTTCTCAAGTTTTACGCTGGTAAGCTTACAAATTAATCTTTTATCCAGCATAAATTCTTTACAATCTGAGACAATTATTTAAGATAGGCAAAACGTATTTTATTTTTTCCATAATAAATTTTACTCTTAATATTTCAAGACCAATTTGACAATATAAATGAAGAGACAGCGGTAATTTTATTGTAGATCAAGTTTCCATATTGGGGAAAGAACACGTACCGCTCCGACATACGTTACGTGTATCTCTAAATTTCTCTCAAGGCCACAAGAGCAGTTAGAAAAGTGAAATTAAGTTAAAATGATTTTGTATGACACTTGTGAGACATTAAAGTACATTGAGTTTCAAAATGTACTTTAATCATGATGCGGCGTCATATTGTGTGAAAAGGAAAGCCAGTAAATTGTCATTTGCCACTGCAATCAAAGTGTCTGAAACTCGGTCTCAGTGAGGCTCTCTCGACTAGATTTACAAGTAAGAAGGTTTCTTCTCTTACGTGCACTTGCCGCAAAAGGAAGCGATCGAACGCTTTCGAACGAACGAGATGATCAGATGCGTCATATATCATCAAAATTGCTGCAAGAGTGGGATACTCGATATGCCTTGAGGAATAAAATTGCGAGGGAAGATCAGCTTTCGTTTATTCTGAGAAAGAATTAAATAACATTTCATTCAGCCGTTTAGCCGCGTTGAAAGGCGGAGGAAAGCAGACGTCTCGGTGTCTGCGATGTTATAT